ATATATATATATTGAATTTATAAATGTGTATGTACATATACAGTATATATGTATGTGTGTGTGGTTGTAACACATATATGTAGTTGTTTTTTTGGTGTTTGGCTTAGTGTTATGTTAGAATCATTATTATACTCTTATACCTTTTGTTCTTTAATATTTTTAATTGTTTTTAGCTTTATCGTTTGTTTTTCATTTAAATGTTAGGTTTTGAAATTTTGTTGTATGCATTTGTCATTTTTATTTAATCTCTTTATTTTTAAAATGTTTGGTAGTAGGTAGTATTTATAAAGTTTTAGCTTTTAGTTTTGGATCGGTTTTTAGTTGTTTTAATACTACAATTGATTGCTTATGTTGTCCTCATTTGTAAGTCGCTTTGGATAAAAGCATCTAATAAATGACTAAAAAAAATAATAAAATAAATGTAGATCTTCACTCTTTATTAAAGGAGACACATGCTACATGCATAGACTAAAATGAATGCATATACTTTAGTTTTCTTGTGAAAAAAAAAATCTGGCTTTGTTGGCCCAGTGCAGAAAAGCGCAATCAAATGTAAAGCTGTAACAACATAAAAAAAAGTCGGGTACCTAAAAATGTGCTTCATGTGATGCTATATAAATTAACAGGTAAATAAATAAATAGTACAAAAGAACAATACATCAATATATGTAACGCATGTGTATAGGCATACATATTATTTTGCACAAGTATTGAGAGAGAATGCTTTCAGTAAGTTACAGCAGTAATGGGTTCATTAACAACAACAACTAGCGCTATTCACCAGAGCCCTGCCAAAATGATGCTTACATTTCTGAAGTAATACCGACACCTTCTGGTCATACTGAGTACAGCAGAAAACCTCTATTAATCACAAGGCTACGTTATCACATTTAACCTTTGCACAAATTATTATTTCTATTTGGATTGTATTTTGTGTGAGAATGAATAAAAGTACTGCTGTTTATTCCAAAGTAACGCGGCGACGCTACAGTTACCCTGAAGAATGTCACGTCGTCACTTCCGTTTGGAGAGAACGGAGAGGATTTGCGTTACCGAGCGACCAAGAGGATTGTCAGAGGAGCCTGTGGAGATTATTTGCCCTCCAGACATCCATTAAAAACACACACAAATAGCATTTTCATCATGGAATAATCTTAAATGCGGTGCGGGCGGTTCGGTTCAGCGGTTGAGACGGCAAACAGGTAAGTAAAGCTGCAGCAGATGGATCGCGTAGGTCAAGCATCCTCTCTTCTGTCCCGATGTGACACGTAGCTGCGCAGCCTGACCTGCTCCGGCCGAATCGCGTCATGGCGTCTGTTCACACTGACTGTAGTATTGAGTATAATCCATTCCGACCCCTTTGGTTCAGGACACAATTTCAACCGATGCCTACAATATAATTTGCTTGTCTGTTTTTGCATGGGTCCTGCTTAACGGCTGGCCTATAGCATGCAATGTATAATATTGATTTTATGATAGGACGTCCTTTGTGCGTCCGGTATTGTGAATTTATTTATCACTTCTTTATTTATACGTATATATTACAGCGCACAATGTTTCGTTAAAGCCTTTTACTATAGTATTCATGTGGTATTAGACGACAGAGTTTTTTTTACTACGTGTATGAAGAATACAACCGGTAATTGTAATGTATTATTGTGGTCTATCTATCTATCTATCTATCTATCTATCTGTCAGACGTCTGTCTGTCTGTCTGTCTGTCTTTCTTTCTTTTTTTTATCTGTCTATATCTATCTTTCTGTTTATCCATTTTCATCTATCTATCTATCTATCTATCTATCTATCTGTCTATCTGTCTGTCTGTATGTCTTTCTTTCTTTTTATCTGTCTATATCTATCTTTCTGTTTATCCATTTTTATCTGTCTGTGTCTGTCTGTCTGTCTGTCTGTCTGTCTGTCTGTCTGTCTGTCTGTCTGTCTGTCTGTCTGTCTTTCTTTCTATCTGTCTATCTGTCTATATCTATCTTTCTGTTTATCCATTTTCATCTATCTGTCTGTCTGTCTGTCTGTCTTTCTTTCTTTTCTCTCTATATCTATCTTTGTTTATCCATTTTCATCTATCTATCTATCTGTCTGTCTGTCTGTCTGTCTGTCTGTCTGTCTTTCTTTCTTTCTTTCTTTTCTCTCTATATCTATCTTTCTGTTTATCCATTTTCATCTATCTATCTGTCTATCTATCTGTCTGTCTGTCTGTCTTTCTTTCTTTCTTTCTTTCTTTTCTCTCTATATCTATCTTTCTGTTTATCCATTTTCATCTATCTATCTATCTATCTATCTATCTATCTGTCTGTCTGTCTGTCTGTCTGTATGTCTGTCTTTTTATCTCTCTATATCTATCTTTCTGTTTATATCTATCTATCTATCTATCTATCTATCTATCTATCTGTCTGTCTGTCTGTCTGTCTGTATGTCTGTCTTTTTATCTGTCTATATCTATCTTTCTGTTTATCCATTTTCATCTATCTATCTATCTATCTATCTGTCTGTCTGTCTGTCTGTATGTCTGTCTTTTTATCTGTCTATATCTATCTTTCTGTTTATCCATTTTCATCTATCTATCTATCTATCTATCTGTCTGTCTGTCTGTCTGTCTGTCTGTCTTTTTATCTGTCTATATCTATCTTTCTGTTTATCCATTTTCATTTATCTATCTATCTATCTATCTATCTATGTCCGTCCGTCCGTCCGTGTGTCTGTAGTTCTGTCGTTCTCATCTGCAATGTGTCTTTTCTTGTAGATATTCATCATGACAGATAGTATTTTGAGCAAAGCCGCCACTATGGAAATCCCCATCAACAGCAATGGGGACAGCAGGACGGCTGAGGATGACAGTCTTGAGCAGGTGTGTATCCACTGTCCATCAAACCTAATGAGGAAAATGAGCATCCTATTTTCAGGCCTGCCATTCAGTTATGCCATGAACCACATCTGAATGTGATGTGACATCCTGTTCCTGTGGATATCGTGTGGCAGGCTCTGAGAGGCCTTGAACAGTTGACTTAATCACACATTAATGAGCTGTTGTAAATATAGAAACTGTTAATTTAAGTCGTGTGGCCCGGTTGTTTTCGGTTATTTCAGCACATGTTTGTCTTCTGTACGTATCTGTCTCACCATCTGTTTTTGACACTGTCTTCACATTTTATGTTTCTTCATGTCACAGGGTGCACAGATTGGTGGGAGCTTAGATGAAATTGTAGGCACACTGCCAGTGGCCATGGTGAGGGAGAGTTTGTGGGTGTCCCTGTATGTTGGAGCCCCATTCCCTTTGATTTAGTGTGGTTGATGGTTTGCATAGTTGCACACATAGTAGTCATTGACTTATCATGGGTGTTTACTGGAACAGACAAGTCAAGCAGAGACATGGAAAACAGTCATACAAATACAGTAGATCAATTTGCATATGTTTTATTGTGACTGTTCCTAATAGGATTTCCCTTGAACTAAGAATGTCTAGTTAATTGATAGATTTCTCAGCCAGCTTTTTGAATTGACACATTTTTAAAGGTTTTGAGAAGGCAAGGCTTTAATATTGATATAAGTTTGTATTTTTAAGTAGAAATAAGCTTTTAGTCTAGTATATAAACACAATATATAAAGGGTTTTTAAATTTAGTCTAGTATATAAACACAATATATAAAGGGTTTTTAAAGGATAATTTAGAATTTTGTGTGCTTATTTCTTCTTGTCATCATCCCAGTCTTCTAATTGTTGATTAAAACGAAAACTTTACAAAATAATTTTTGGTAAATGAAAAAGATTACATTAAATGTAATTATTAGATAAATATTATGGAAGTTTTAGTTGAATGCTGAAATTACTTTTAACAAAAAAGCTAATCAGGAATATAAAAAAATGACAAAGCAAAATTAAAATGAAAACTGAAAATACAAACAAACTCCAATATATTAATAAACATTACAATAGTATATAAATAGTACCAATATAACACTGCTCCATCCTCACTTTTGATACCCATTTGTGTTTTCTCCACCTAACGTGCCCAGTTTGTGGTAAATGTGTTTTTTGTCTCTTTGCTAGAGATTGTTATATTCTGTGATATTAAATCCCATCATATTCAGGACTTGCAGCAGGTGATGGTGTCTGGACCAAACCTGAATGAAACCAGCATTGTGTCTGGAGGCTACGGAGGGGCAGCAGAGGGCATCATACCCACCAGTTCCATCAAAGGTAAAGAGCACCTGAATAACTCAAGTGTCCGATTCTGATTCTGCATCGGATTTGATGCAGCATCTAAGTCATGTGCCTGGCAAGGTTCAGCTTACATCTTTGCTGACGTATATGTTTAGGACCATCTATACGTTTCAACCCGGAGTATTTTGACAGAAGATGTGGCAACGCGCCCAAACCAGGTGTCTGTGTACTGTATATGCATGCTAACTTGACAGAAGTTCTTATTTTAGAATCTTTGTCCCTACAGCTTCCTCTCTCTCCCGTGGTGTAAAATGTGTTTGTCAGCATTTTAACAGCAAACGTTTGGCTTTTTTCTACAGGGTGCTGAGGACAGTCGCATGGTGGATGCATGTTTGCTTATGCAACATAAACCTCTTGTTTGTTTGTTTGTTTTAAATTGACTGTAGACATGTTTTTAACAAAAATGTTTGTGAGCTGATATATTTGAAATGTGGAATGCACAATAATTCCTTTAATGGTGTTTCTTTATGCTTAATAACATGACTGGCCTTAACACATTAACACGGCACTAATAGGCATGCCAGAATACAAACCTAACTGACGCAGTCAGTGGCGGTCCAGGAGGAATTTTTTTTTTTATTATATAAATTTATTTTTTATGTTGTGTCATTTCAATAACCATTCTGATTGGTCTATTTATTAGAAGAGCCTTTATGTTGTTATTGTCCTCTGAAATTTGTGAAGTAATTAAAACAATTAAGTTGAAACTAAAGTGACTTAGTCAAGTCAAGTCAAGTCACCTTTATTTATATAGCTCTTTTAACAATACAGATTGTGCCAAATCAACTGAACAGCATTAATTAGGAAAATAGTGTGTCAATAATGCAAAATGACAATAGTAAACACTAATTTTTCAGTTAAAGGCAGTTCATCATTGAATTCAGTGATGTCATCATCCAGCTCAGTTCAGTTTAAATAGTATCTTTGCAATCATTTGCAATCAAGTCAACGATATCGCTGGAAATGAAGTGTCCCCAACTAAGCAAGCCAGAGGCGACAGCGGCAAGGAACCAAAACTCCATCGGTGACAGAATGGAGAAAAAACCTTGGGAGAAACCAGGCTCAGTCGGGGGGCCAGTTCTCCTCTGGCCAGACAAAACCAGCAGTTCAATTTCAGGCTGCAGCAAAGTCACATTGTGCAGAGGAATCATCTGGTTCCTGTGGTCTTGTCCCGGTGGTTGTCTGAGACAAGGTCTTTACAGGGGATCTGTATCTGGGGCTCATCTAGTTGTCCTGGTCTCCGCTGTCTACTTAATATATTGAAAATTGACAGCAAGAGTAAGTTGTCATTTTCTAAACATGTGACACTGATAACTGGAGTAATGACTGCTGAAGATTCAGTTTTACCAACCCAGGAATAAATGACATTTTAAAATATATTAAAATAGAAAAGAGTTATTTTAAATTTAAATAATATTCAACAATAGAACAGTTTTTACTGTATTTTTGATCAAATAAATGCAGCCTCAGTGAGCATAAGAAACTTTGAAAAAACATTGAAAGAATCTTGCCAACCAATGGGAGTTTGTATATACTGTATTCATTTTAATTGCCGCAATTTATTAACACATTTATGCTGACCATCACTGTACAAAGTCAGTCTTTTAGCAGCAGTCTTGTTTTCGTTTTCATCCTCTACTTCCAACTTTTATCTCTTTTGGTCACCTTGTCCTTAATAAAACGTTTCCTTTTAAGCATCCACTGTTCATTTTTGATAAAACATCATAATGGTTCATGCATACATCATAATCACCAATATTATTATTGTCTGATACATTTTGATTATTCAATCTATGAAATCATTATGCATTTGATTATGTTTACTAAAATCTCCACTACAGAATAATCATCGTCCCACCCAGTTCATGTGCATTACTCATCCATATTACTACAAAGCACTAAATATTGTAATTTCCCTAATGGCCTTTCACTTAAACTAACCCTCCATCCCATTCCTCCACCCGTCCACTGTTATTCATTCATTTCAGACATCCGCTCCAAATCCAGGGGCATCACTCCCAGCCATTCAGCTGCCAGTCGGATAGCAAACCAGCCAGGACATTACCCAGGTATCTCAGGGCCTCCTCACTGCCTCCTGTCACTGCCCATAATTATCAGTCATTACTCATTTACTGTCATCACACCTTTTATTCTTGTCCCTATTCATTTTTCAGTCTCAGGAATAAAAGATGATTGGTTATACACCGAATTTTGAAGTCTCTACTTTGATAATGGTCCATTACATGAGATGACTATAAAGTCAGTGTTGTGACCTTTATAGACACAACTGGGTTGTGATATTCAAAACCAGAATGAAATTATATTGTGTATTTTGGTATGGTGCCCTATTTATAATAAAAGTACCTACATTTTGTACTCTCAGCTCCCAGTATGCACCACAGCAACAGCAACCCATCCATGATGTCAGAGGAGGCCACAAGAGGAGTAGCTGTAGAGAAATTTGACAGCATGAAAAAGTGGAGCATTAACACGTACAAGGTACAGTAGTTTCATGTTTTTAAAAGAAATCTCATGTTCACCAAGGCTGAATTTATTTATTCAAAAATACAGTAAAAAACAGTAATATTGTGGAATGTTATTACAATTTTAAATAACTGTTTTTGTTTTGTTTTTTACTTTAACAGATTTTAAAATGTATATATTGCTGTTATGACAAAACTGAATATTCAGAATCATTACTCCAGTCTTCAGTGTCACATGATCCTTCAGAAATCATTCTAATATGCTGATTTGGTGCTCAGGAAACATTTATTATTATCAATGTTGAAAACAATTGTGCTGCGCTTTATATTTTTAGGAAATTGTGATACATTTAGGATTCTTTATTGACCAGAAAATATATAAAAATAGACAATTTTGTATCATTATAAATGTCTTTACTGTCACCTTTGAGCAATCGAACTTATCCTTGCTTCATAAAAGTATTCATTTATTTTAATATTTTTTTAATCTTACCACAAGTATTTTTTTTATTATATCTGTAGTTATTTAGGCTTTATAAAAATAATCTGTGTAGGGATTCATATGTATCTTGCCTTCCTTTCTTTACCAGTGCACAAAACAGATGTTTTCGGAGCGCTTCGGTCGTGGCTCAAAGACGGTGGACCTGGAGCTTGAGGCTCAGATTGATGTGCTACGAGAGACTAAGATGAAATACGAGTGTATTCTGAGACTAGCACGTGAGCTCACCAGCCACTTCAACAACATGGTGCAGACTCAGCAGGCTCTTGGAGACACCTTTGCTGATCTTAGCCAGAAATCTCCAGAATTGCAGGTACTAATAATTTTTTTGCCGTTTGGTTACATATCGCCACTGAATCTTAACATAGTGTCCCATTTTTAATGGTTTTTGCAAACGAAAGAATTACCAGCACTTTTTTGCCTTATAGACAGTTCGGTAAGACGAAAAAGACATACTGTCCAAAACAGTATCTTGTATTGTATATTTATATTTATATTGATATTTATATCTAGAGTAGATTTTGCTTTCATTACATTGCAGCTTACATATATACATACATAAACATTTTTCTCAAAATTTGTGAAAATTTTTGTTTCCACAAGATTTTAATATAACACGAATATGCCTTTACTCTATTTGATGGTTTAATAGCTGTATAAATAACGTTATCCTCAACTTTAACTTTTTTAACTTTTCCAGGATGAGTTTGGCTATAATGCAGAGACACAAAGACTGCTATGCAAGAATGGAGAGACGCTCCTGGGTGCCATCAATTTCTTTGTGTCCAGCATTAATACATTAGTCAACAAAACCATGGAGGACACACTCATGACCATCAATATATATGAGAATGCAAGGTATCAAAAGTTTGATATTAAAAAATTCTGCAAATTAATTACATGATATACAGATTGATTAATCAAATTAACATATACATTCTCACACAAATATGTTTTATTTTTTTATTTGATCTGATTTGATTTTTTTTTTTTTTATCAATCTGTACATCATGTAATTAATTGCTAAGATAAGAACCCCCCAAATGAGGATGGATCAAAAACTTTTTACATTTATTGCAGAACACAAGTATATAATTGAATATACATTACAAAAAAGGGCTTTAGAAGTTAATGTATTGGTTTATTTCAGTTTCATTTAACATAAGCGTATCACTAGAATTTGTTTTGCAACTGAGTTTGTCAATCTGTCTGAAGTCGGCATTTACACACAACACTTTCTGGCAATCACTTTTGCGTCATGTCTTGTTCATTTTTTTTTTTCCACAACATGAATCATAAGAATCACATTTTTGGTCCACACAATGGAAGTAAATGGTAACCAAAAGAGCTTGTGATTCTTCAGAATATCCTCTTTTGAAAGTGAAAGTGACGTGACATGTGGCCAAGTATGGTTACCCATACTAGGAATTAGTGCTCTGCATTTATCCCATCCTAAGTGCAGTGAACACACAGCAGTGAACACACACACACACACACCGTGAACACACACCCGGAGCAGTGGGCAGCCATTTATGCTGCGGTGCCCGGGGAGCAGTTGGGGTTCGGTGCCTTGCTCAAGGGCACCTCAGTCGTGGTATTGAAGGTGGAAGAGAGCGCTGTACATTCCCCCCACCTACAATTCCTGCTGGACCTGAGACTCGAACTCGCAACCTTTGGGTTACGAGTCCGACTCTCTAACCATTAGGCCACGACTTCCCCGATTTTATGTTCCCCAGCAGAAAAAGTCATACAAGTTTGGAACAATTCAGCGAGTAAATGACAGAATTTTCTTTTTCACAGCATGTTAATCTGACAGCTCTAATTATGATATCAAGGGATTTGCAGCCTGTACATCAAGGAGAATTTCTTTTTTTATCCTAGGATTAGTTATATAGGTTTATTGAACCAGCTTATACTAATGAGTACTGATGTTTCAGACTGGAATTCGATGCCTATAGAACCGACCTGGAGGAGTTGAGCGCGGGTCCGCGGGACGCTGCAGCCATGGTGTGCATTGAGATAGCTCAACAGCAGTACCAAATCCATAAAGACAAGTATGAACGACTGCACAGTGATGTCAGCATCAAGCTCAAGTTTTTGGAGGAGAATAAGGTACCATGTTGAAATCCATATTGTTCAACTTTTTTATTTCGTAAGTCACAAATATTACTCAGTTTTAATATTTTAACTTTCCAGGTAAAGGTGATGCACAAGCAGCTCCTACTGTTTCATAATGCTGTCTCTGCGTATTTTGCTGGAAACCAGCAGCAGCTGGAACAGACTCTCAGACAGTTCAATGTGAAATTGAAGCCACCAGGTTCTGACAAGCCGTCGTGGCTTGAGGAACAGTGATCACTTTGTCAATGTAAAGACACACTCAAACATGGAAACCCGAAAATGGATGGACGGGGATGTAAAAGTGATTCGTATGAATGATTAAGACAAAAGAAGTAGTTGTTTTTAAGTTGCCAAACCTTGGAAATATGCCCAGAAAGGCTTGAAATAAATATTAATTTTATCCAAATGGCTTATGGAAACTATCTGTGGTTACATTTTACAGCTGCCTTAACTATCTCCTATACATTCAAAGTAATATGTCGCAAAATTACAATACAAATCAATCACATAACTCACTTTCTGTAAAAACTTTAAAATTTTCTGAGGCATTCATAGTCATATTCACAAAACTGTTCCATATCCAGTGAGCACCTCGCAGGCCAGTTTATATACTTTGTTTTATCATAGAGTAGAGTCAAAAGGAATGAATGTTGTGCTTGTGTGTTTGTTTTTAACGTAAGGTTGTTTGAAAGAGGATTGGGTCATGGTAAAAGAATGAAAAAAAGAATGCTCACGGTATGTGTCATAAGAAGGTTAATAATAATATATTTATATTTATGTAAATTTGTGAAGTCCTATCTATGAAATTAAAACACATTTGAAAGCGATAGAATCTAATGAGTGAAATTTATCTTGCCTTATGTGTCTCTCTTACTTTTACTGCCACATGGCAGCCAGGCTTAGTTTCTGAGCAGCATCTTCAAACTTTGACTAGTTGACTAGCCTACATAAATTGATATTTAACTTGGTTTTAGTCAAGAAAATAAAAACTTCTCTGATTTGCTATGGGTTTCTTCTAAAATGTACAATATTTTACAAAAATTACTCATCACCCCTCGACATTAAAATACACGTAGACATTTCATTTAAAAAAAATGTCTGTAAAAATTCTGATTCTTTAATGAGGTAAGGTTTGAGGGATTTTATGGTTGGTTGTCTATTTTCCCCATTGAAACATTAACCCGTGTGAAACGGCCTTTACCCAAAGTAACTGTACAAGTAAACAGCCCAGCTTTCAGTTTCTAACGGTACTCGCGGTTATAATAAGTTGGGTGATTACCCATTTACATGGTACTTTCTGAAATTTGAATGACAGAGGGATTACGTCTGAAACAAGCGCTGACGAGTTCTGGGCGTGAGCTACAGGTAAGAGAGCAGATGATTGCAACATCACTCTTCCGCTGAACGGCTGGCTATGCAGTAACCAACAGTCCCGTGTGACAGTAACGTGGAGCATGTTTTTCCCGTTTGGAGTACATAGCCAAAGTAATTTCGGATAGTGTCAGACAGTAGTTTCTTTTGGGGGACGTCTGGATACCTCTCAAAACGAGTAAGTTAATCATTTCTATGAATTCAAAATACAAAGCTACCAAGGTGTTACCATAAAATACAATGGACATGGACAATCAGGTTTTACCAAAAAGACCTTGGGCGATAAAGTCTTTTTTTCATGGAGTAGGTTATTATAATACTTTACAGTATCATATAAGCAGTTTTATATTGAAATGTATGTATAGGCCTGGAGTACAGAGTAGGCTACCATATTATTACCATCAGTGAACTGTGGTAAAAAAAAACAACAACAACCATGGTACTGAGAGAAGTTTTTAAGCTTTAAAAAGTTCCTGCAGATATTGTGGAGGAATTAACCTAACTATATATATATATATATATTCTATTAGTTATATATTTTTTATTTATACACTGACAGTCTTTGCATAAAAGAAAGAGGTCATGTAAACTTGAAAACCTGTATTTTCTATCATGGTTTTGTTAGTATGTTCTCACCAATGCTTATTACCTAGAGTTTCTTGGTTAACTTCCCTACACTAATTCTTCCGTTTTCAGCTGAAAGACAGCATATATTAACATATTGTAGACACACAGTTTCCATATGGTTTCTTTTTCTGGCTTTTCTTTAAAGGGATGATGCAGCAGAATCTTTGCAAGTGACATCAAAATCATGATACCACCACCGCCGCCGCCACCACCACCACCTAATGCCCCACCTCCTCCTCCTCCCCCCCCTGCCCTCTTCTCTGGTGCAGGCCCATTTACCAGAGGCCCAATGCGGGCCTCTAGAATGCGTAATTTCAATTGGGAGGCCATACCTAAGGACACTGTGCTTGGCAAACACAACATATGGACGGCTGAGAAGAACAGTGAGTTTGAGTTGGACACCAAACGTATGGAGGAGTTATTCAGCCGCAATGATCAGAAGCAGATCCAGGCCACAAACCGCCGCAGTGTACGCCAGTCCCCGAGCAATGCCTCAGGACCCGAAATGGTGAGTTCAGGTAGAATGTGCCAGAAAAGTTGTTCTGTACCTGCAGGCTTACAGTAAGTGGGTGTTTCCAGACTCATTTCATCAGAGAGATTTGCATATGCTTACATCAAGCTTGTCACTGGGGTAGGGTCAGTGACTGTCCCAGGCAGTCTGTAATAGAGATGACTTTTGGTTAGTTGTAACCTCACTTAATTTCTGTTTATTTTGGCCTTTATAATTGTCCCTGTAGTAATGATTACAGAGCTGAAGGTGATTCAAGCTTCATATATTTTCATGCTGCATGCAGGAGGTGTCATAATAGCTAATTTTGCATAAACCGTTTCTTTATGGTCATTTATCTTTCACATAGTGTACTGCAGATTATTACTAAAGCTAATTCTACATGATCTAACCCTTTAGTTTTTTTGTGTAAACCAATGGATTTAGTTTGATTCAGTGATGTTAAATTATCATTTTGACTTAAATAAAATCTATAAAATAATTTTTTTATTGTTTTACCTAAAATAATCTTTTGACATTAATAAATGCTATTAATTTATTTTAACATTAAATGTTTTTTAAAATTAATTAATTAATTAATTATAATAAAATTGCACGTTATCACTTTTTATAGTGTAAATTATGCATGCTATTGTGGATCAATTACTATTTTTGTCATAATCTCTCTCTTCTTTGGTAAGTTTAGTATATTGCATAATAATTTCAGCAAAAGGTGGCTAGGTTATGACATTTTGTCAGAGAACATCTATTTATAAACTGGCTTTACTTCTGCCTCACATGATACAGAACTAATTGGTAACTACTGCTAAAATCAGGTAGATAAAGAAAATGAGAAGTTTACTAAAAGGAAATTTAAATAACAGTGATTTCAAATTAGGACTGCCGTGTTTTCCAGAAAAATCCCATGTGATTGTTTCTCAGCATGTTGCTTGGAAAGATTTGACATATTTTAGTGTCGTAATCATGATTTGTCATGCTGTGGCCCACAGCCAGAAAAAAAACATCCTAGTTACTAGATTTGATGTAACTTTCTCTTGCAAATAATGCTTAGAGTCATTCAAAAGACAATGATGTGGCATTTATAGACGCCACTCGACTATGTTTGTCCTTTGATCTGAACTCTCTTTAAAGGTGGAGTGGTTTCTTCTTTTCTGTAAGTGTTTACATAAGGTGGACTCCACCGATATTGAATAGCTTTCAGTTCAAAAACACTGTGATGCAGAACATCTAATTTTACAACCATTGAATCACATCATCACAACGTTCCGGTGATTATTCTTAATGCAAGAAATTAATAGGCAGGGTTGTTGGTATTCATAAATCATCATTAGTTTTTCATAGTTCATAAATGATGAAAAACTTTAGGGTGGAGTAAATACTTAGTACAATCTGTTTACATTTATGTTAATGATGTAATATACATAAAAAAAACAATTGGTCTGAAAGCTGTCTTTGTCATCCATTATTCATACAGTATAATGGCTTTTTTTCCTTTGCCAGGTGACCATCCTCAACTCCAAGAAGAACATGAATATTGGTATCTTCCTCAAGCTGTTCAAAAGGTGAGTGTATCACGAAGGTGTATTAAGAAAAGCTCTCCATTTCATCAGCAGATCCTAGGGTGGAAACGCGCAGTAGTCATACGATAGATTGCTCACATGTCTCTGCAAGCCAAATGAATTTTTTTCTGACAACATCAGGCAGTCCATATCTTTTCTACCAGAGTAAGAGTGAAGATAAGATGGGGTTTGCATTATTTACATCATCAGCGGTTCCCTTAATCATACAGTGTTTCTTCGCAGATATTGATTAGTTGATTGTGACAGTTTAACTGAATACATCAGCTTTTAGTGCTAGAGCTTGTGATACCAGTTTGGTGTGCTTGTGTGTATCTCTAAAAAAGCAAGAATGGGCTTGTCTAGTCCCGGTATGTTTTATGGTTGGCCAGGAAACGGAGATTAAGTGTATGTAGCAGTCAGAACAAGGTGAAGTATGAATCACAGTGTGGAAGTCCATATGTCGCCCACTTCCTCTATACTGTTCTTACGGATGTGCCACTTGTTTTGGAGAACAATGAACAAACTTCAATTAGAATTGAGTTTTTACAATGTTATCAGTCTACTTAAAGATGAAGTGTGTCTGTTCCACTAGGGGTGAAAGTATTGATTGATTTCATACAAGTTTCTCAGATATTCCCTGCAGCTGCCGTTGGATGGACAAACAGGTAGTTCCGCCCCCAAACTCACGCCATTGGTTGAGTCACTGTTGCTGTGTTGGGCCGCTCAAACAAACAGAGCAATGTTGACACGCCACAGAATAGCAGTGTTGACACTACTGGAAAATTAACCTACAAATATCTTAGTTGTCACTGCATGTCAAACTGGGATAGGAGAGAGTATTTTAAGTTAGAAAAATTAAACAATTAAAATAAATTATATTAAATTAAATTACATTTTTTATATGATGCATATAAATTTTTTTTATTTTATATTAAAATGTCAATAGTGTTTTTATTTTGTATTTTAAAACAGTATGATAATGTTTTATGCAGCTATTATAAGAAAAAAAATGTATGATGCATATTAAACGTTTATTTGATTTGATTCTATTTGATTTTATTTTTGCATAATGCATCTGCCTTCATAAGGAAGACTGGGGTTTAGTGATATTAGCAGAGATCCAATTCCATTCAATCTCTGAACAATCTGAGATTTTGTAACTCTTGAAATAGTCTGTGGAGGCCCTGATCTGTAATTCTACCACATCTTTCTCCACAGGTCAGTGAGTGGAATGATTGATGACGTTATCAACGGCAGAGGAGAAAGATTTGGTACTGGGAAACTGAAGGAGTTGTGCAAACTACTGCCAGAGGATGGAGAGGTGGGTGTAATATATGGATCAGGGCTTTAGTTACACTTGTTGAGCAATTCCAAGGCTTTGATAGTGTGACAATGGCACTTGAATATGCGTTTGTGTATTGTGTAATATGAATTGCAAACTGAACTTTCATTTGATTTGAACTGAAAGCTTACTGTAATGTATTGCATTTGCTTCATTTCATTAGGTGCGTCAGCTTCTTGATTTTAAAGGAGACTGTTCAACTCTCTCTGAGGCAGATCGGTTCATGGTACAACTTGTCAAAGTTCCTTGGTGGGTGTATACAGCCACAGAAAGACAAATACACTTACACAACTGTACACAGAGCACCTTCAATACTAAGCAATTTGCACAGTACAGCTCATGTTTTATCTCCGTGGCCAGGTATTGATTATCAATACAAGACAGTGGATTTGTAGGTCACTGCAAATTACTCTAAATGTGAGTGAACTTTAGATATACCATCATGATTATATTTCTTTGTTTGTTCTTCCTCTAGCTATGAGGAACGGTTGAACAGTTT